TTATAGATGGTCACCAGGTCCCCCCTCAGCCTTCTCTTGTGAAGCCTGAACAGGTTCAGGTCCCATAGTCTCTCATTGTAGGGCCTGCCCTGCTGCCCCTGGATCATGTGAGTGGCCCTCCTCTGGACCCTCTCAATGTTGTCCACATCCCTCTTGAAGTGGGGTGCCCAGAACTGGACACAGCACTCCAGCTGAGGCCTGACCAGTGTCACGTAGAGGGGGAGGATCACCTCCTTGGCCCTACTCGAGATGCACCTGTGGATGCACTCCGGTTAGCCCTGCCGACCGTGACCTCGCATTGTCGGCCCATGTTCATCTTGGAGTCAATGATGACTCCAAGATCCCTTTCTGCCTCCATGCTCTCAAGAAAGGAGTTTCCCATCTTATAAGTGTGCTGCTGGTTACTACTGCCCAAGTGCAGCACCCTGCACTTGTCCGTATTGAAGCGCATCCTGTTTTTGTTAGCCCACCCTTGCAACCTATCCAGGTCTTTCTGCAGTCTTTCCCTCCCTACTAGCATGCCCACCTCACCCCAAATTTTGGTATCATCAGCAAATTTGAACAGGCTGCTTTTCACCCCGTTGTCCAAATCGCTGATAAAGAAATTGAACAGTGCAGGCCCAAGGACCAAGCCCTGGGGGACTCCGCTGCCCACTTCCCCCCAGGTCGAATATGACCCGTCCACCACCACCCTCTGAGTACGACCCTTTAGCCAATGAGCAATCCATCTGACCGTGTAGGCATCAATGCCACAGTCACCTAGTTTTTTAATGAGGATGGGGTGGGAGACAGTGTCAAAGACCTTGCTGAAGTCCAGAAATAAGCTGGAAATAAAGTCCAGAAAGACTATTGGCTGGATATATAAATCCAGCCAATATACTGAGCTATAAAAGGAATTAAATATTGCTCAGTTGCATTGTTGGTATTATGGTAGCCTGATTCATGGAGAGACAAGCTAAAAGAAGACCGTTTAAGCTCCTTAGCTCATGAGCATTCCATAATGTGACATGCTCTGGGAAAGAGGGAGGGAGGCAGATGCACAACAGCCAATGGGAAGGCCATGTGGCATCTGGTAGATATTCATCTCTAAGCCAAAGTGAGTGTGCAACATGGCAGATCGCCACATAAAGAGGGACAAAGAAAAATGCCAGTAGTATAAAGAATCCTAATGATCTCAGCCCTTCAATGCAATTTATTGTCAATCAATTGTCAATTTAATATAACTCGGTCCTCCC